AGAGAACTCTTCGCTGTGCTTCTCAACTTCTTCAAACTTGGCCAAACCACTGGCACTAGACCAGAAGTACTTCTTCTCACCTTTGTCCTTGAGGAACTTTTCTTGCGGCAAAGACTCATCCCACTTCTCAGAGCTGCTTTCCAAAGTGTCCAAAAGTTCCTTGAAAGATGGTGAGCCTGGATTTCGATGCATCTCATTGGCAATTTCCCACCTGAGGAGGGAAGAGGGATTAGCAATAAAAGTGGGAAAAAACAAACTTTGGTCCCCAGCTGGCCTTGTCGACCAGCCAACAGCACCCTGCTTCTTGGAGGCACTGGTCTTCTCAAAGGACTCAGAGTAGCTGCTGTACCACTTGCAACTCTTGTCAGCCTTCCACTTGGCAACCAAAGCCTGCTTTTGTGCATCGAACTTTCCCAGGGTCTTGTAGTGGTTGTACAAGGCCACAGCATCGTCTGAATTTGCCCTCTTCATTTGGCCCAAGAAGTTGCTGATGTCCTTCTTGTCGACAGTAGCAGCTTGGGACACAGGAACAATCTCCTCAACGCGAGGAGACCTCTGGGGAGAAGGTGGTTCAACTTTCACCTTGGCAGCTGCCTTGGCTGTTGCCTTCGCAGATGACTTAGCAGCTGCTGCCTTGTTAACTCTCTTGGCAGATTTTTTCACCACATCCTTGCCAGGAGCAGTCTTAGGCTTGGCAGCAGCTTTGCCCATTGTTCTCACAAGAACTAAATTTAGTTGCCTGCTTACAAAGGCACTTGAGAAAAACAGCTGGCAAAGAACGATTGCCAAAAAAAAATCTCAAGGCAACTCCAGGATTTTTTCAAAGCTGAACATCTCTGAGTTTGGCTGCTCATGACTGATTGCAATGCAGAGCTGTGAGCATCTTCAGGTGCAACTCACTGAATCAGCAAAACATGTCAATCTGGAAAGTCAAAGGCAAAACATTAAAAAAAATACTTTGCAGAATTTTCTGGGATTAACTAGAGTTAACTTAGCAGAATTAACTTGAGTTAACTTAAGTTAACTTGAGTTAACTTAAGTTAACTTTGTTAATTTTAAATTAGATTTCAAGGGAGTTAACTTAAGTTAACTTAGTTAACTTAGAGTTAACTTAGAGTTAACTTGAGTTAACTTGAGTTAACTTGAGTTAACTTTGACTGGCTGGATTTTCACAATTTTAAAAAAATGTGAAAGGAAAAACTGGTCAGACAAATGTCAGAATATGAAATTTTGAGAGTCCTGAACCTCCCCTTTCCTCCCCAGGATTTTCTATGCTATGATATATTGAAAAAAAAAATATATATAAACAATAAACTTTCTGGACAAGAGACAGAAAAACTTCAAGCTGAGATTGCAGAGTGCAAAGTGCCTGGCTTCAAGGTCAGAAAAGGCTTCTTGAAAAACAGACAAGTTTCCCAACAAGCCAGCAGGAATCTTTTGAGGAGAAGCTTGAAGCACAGCCAGTGGCCTCCAATCTATGCCCATGAAATCAGAGTTTTTGACCCCAAGAAACAGGTCGAATGTTTGGCCAAAGTGGCTTTCATGCTTCCACATGAAATTCTTTTCGCTTTAGGTGACTTCAACACTGCTGAAACCCTTACAGTACTATCTTCTGCCACTGAATCTGTACAGAAACATTGCTTGGAAGCTCAAAGTCAATGGGGAGTACCAGTAGCAGCCTTAGGGCTCTGGAGCGATGGTACTCCATTCAACTGGGAGAGAAGTAAATCCTTGGAATTGTTATTGATCAATTTTCCAGGCCTGGACAGCACATGGAGGTTCCCAATAGCTGCAATTCCTCATGAACATATCTCTAAGCATGCCACTTTCGAGGATATTTTTTCATTGGTGGCTTGGTCTTTCCAGCAATGTGCTGTGGGCAAAATGCCTTTCCAAAGGCATGATGGTAGTCCATGGACTTCTAACGACACCTGGAGGAAGAAGAGGGCTGGAAAGCCTTTGCCATGCAAAGCTGTTTTAGCTGAGGTGAGAGCAGATTGGAAGTGCATGAGCGAAGTTTTTCATTTGCCTCATTGGCAAAACGCACTGGGAATTTGCTGTAAATGTTCTGCCACTCTTGGTAATTTCAAAGATTTTTCTTCTCTGGCTCCTTGGAGATCTGAAAGGCTGAACCATTGGCAATTCTTGGAGAGGCAATTATTGCAGGGCAAGAAAGTCAGTGCCATCTACCATTGTCCTTTGTTCTCTACTTCTTGCTTTAAGATTGATTGGCTGCACACAATGGACCTTGGAGTCTCCTGCGATACATTGGGCAACCTCTGCTGGCATTTGTTGCCTAAGTTCGCAGGTAAAAGATCTGACCCAGTGGCAGCTTTGTTTTTGACCATGAAAGATTTTTACACGAGGAACAATGTGGAAACCAGATTGTTCAACCTCACTGAGAAGATGATCAGGTCATCAGCCAAGACAAGCCCTAAGCTCAAGACCAGGGCTGGTGAGACCAGGGCATTGGTACCCTGGGCTTGGGAAATTGCGCAGACTATGCTTGATCAGCTGGATCCTTTTGAGCAGGCAATTTTTTTTGCCATCAAGTATTTGCACCAGGCCTACCAGTGCTTGAGTAAGAAGAACTTCCAGCACCAACACTTCCACGATGTTTGTTTCAAATTCCTTTTACAATACCAAGCCTTGGAATTTTTGGCTCCAGAATACACTTGGTACATCAAACCCAAGTTCCATGGAATGGCTGAGCTTGCTCTAGCATTTGACAATCCAAGTATGAATTGGGTATACAGGGATGAAGAAGCAGGTGGCACACTGGCCCGGTTGGGTAGAAGCAAGGGCAACCTGCAAACCCCTTGGTCTGTGTCAATTAATGTTCTGCAAAGATTTGCTGCAGAGTGCAGAGTTTTCTATGCCTGCTTTTTGAAAAAAGAGCTGCTGCCATGCACCTGAAAAGCAAAAACTTAAAGTGCACCTCTTCCAATTGGAAAAACAAAAATATGTTCTTTTCTTTAAAGCAGCTAGGGGGAGGAAGGGAGGATCAAAAATCAAAAAAAAACAAAATATATTTTTAAAACAAATATAATCTTTAAAACGTATTTTACAAAACAAAAAAAGGCCAGAGGGAGGATGGAAGGAAAAAAAGTACAGGTCTAATAAAAAAATAGACCTGTACTCATTGGGAAAAAGTTTAGGACTATAGTCTGAACTACAGGCTTAAAGCCCTTAATCCAGACTATTGGTCTATCAGGGTATGGCTACAGCAGGGAAAACAACAGATAGAATGCCTCCCCGGAAACTACAGCAAATATAGATCAATGAAAAAGGCATAGAAGAAAAGGAAGGGTAAGGAACAATATAGAAGAAAAGGAGGAGAAAAGGGAAGAGGATAAGGTCGGAAAAGAGACAAAGGCACTCCAGGTTCCCTGCGGGTCAGAAACATATGGCTACAGTGGCGAAAACAACAGATAGAATGCCTCCCCGGAAACTACAGCAGATATAGATCAATGAAAAAGACACAGAAGAAAAGGAAGGGTAAGGAACAATATAGAAGAAAAGGAGGAGAAAAGGGAAGAGGATAAGGTCGGAAAAGAGACAAGGGCACTCCAGGTTCCCTGCGGGTCGGAAACATATGGCTACAGTGGGGAAAACAACAGATAGAATGCCTCCCCGGAAACTACAGCAGATATAGATCAATGAAAAAGACATAGAAGAAAAGGAAGGGTAAGGAACAATAAAAAAAAAGAAAGGAGGAGAAAAGGGAAGAGGATAAGGCTACAGCAGATATAGATCAATGAAACAGACATAGAAGAAAAGGAAGGGTAAGGAACAATAAAGAAGAAAAGGAGGAGAAAAGGGAAGAGGATAAGATCGGAAAAGAGACAAGGGCACTCCAGGATCCCTGCGGGTCAGAAACATATGGCTACAGTGGGGAAAACAACAGATAGAATGCCTCCCCGGAAACTACAGCAGATATAGATCAATGAAAAAGACATAGAAGAAAAGGAAGGGTAAGGAACAATATAGAAGAAAAGGAAGAGAAAAAGGAAGAGGATAAGGTCGGAAAAGAGACAAGGGCACTCCAGGTTCCCTGCGGGTCAGAAACATATGGCTACAGCAGGGAAAACAACAAATAGAATGCCTCCCCGGAAACTACAGCAGATATAGATCAATGAAAAAGACATAGAAGGAAAGGAAGGGTAAGGAACAATATAGAAGAAAAGGCGGAGAAAAGGGAAGAGGATAAGGTCGGAAAAGAGACAAGGGCACTCCAGGTTCCCTGCGGGTCAGAAACACATGGCTACAGCAGGGAAAACAACAAATAGAATGCCTCCCCGGAAACTACAGCAGATATAGATCAATGAAAAAGACATAGAAGAAAAGGAAGGGTAAGGAACAATATAGAAGAAAAGGAGGAGAAAAGGGAAGAGGATAAGATCGGAAAAGAGACAAGGGCACTCCAGGTTCCCTGCGGGTCAGAAACATATGGCTACAGCAGGGAAAACAACAGATAGAATGCCTCCCCGGAAACTACAGCAGATATAGATCAATGAAAAAGACATAGAAGGAAAGGAAGGGTAAGGAACAATATAGAAGAAAAGGCGGAGAAAAGGGAAGAGGATAAGATCGGAAAAGAGACAAGGGCACTCCAGGTTCCCTGCGGGTCAGAAACATATGGCTACAGTGGGGAAAACAACAGATAGAATGCCTCCCGGAAACTACAGCAGATATAGATCAATGAAAAAGACATAGAAGAAAAGGAAGGGTAAGGAACAATACAGAAGAAAAGGAGGAGAAAAGGGAAGGGGATAAGATCGGAAAAGAGACAAGGGCACTCCAGGATCCCTGCAGGTCAGAAACATGTGGGTACAGTGGAAAAACAACAGATAGAATGCCCTCCGGAAACTACAGCAAATATAGATCAATGAAAAAGACATAGAAGAAAAGGAAGGGCAAGGAACAATATAGAAGAAAAGGATGAGGCATTCTAACTGTATTTCCCCTGTAAAATACCAGTCAAAACTTACATGTTCTTACCAATTTTGGCGCCGCATTCTAACTGTGTTCTGCATATTTACAGGTGTTTCCTCAGTTAGAATGCGACTGCCGTGGGGGGGGGCCAAACGGGCCACCATCACGCGAAGCCAAAACCGCATTCTAACTTTCACTTTAGCGGTATATATATATATATATTTATTTATATTTATAATGATCTATTGACAAAACTATATTTATTTGAACACAAAGTTATCAATCAGCTGTGGGGGCCCCCACACTTAGAACATCTCAAGACACTACACACACATATATATATATATGAATGTATCTTTAATGATCTATTGACATAACTATAAATATATATATATATATTTGAACACAACGTCATAAATCAGCTGTGGAGACCCCCACACTTAGAACATCCCAGGACATTAGATACAACATATGTATTTATATATTTTGAAAATGACCTATTGACATAACTATATTTATATGAGCACAAAGTTATCAATGAGCTGTGGGGACCCCCACACTTAGAACATCCCAAGACATTACAACATATATATATATATATAATGATCGATTGGCATAACTACATTTATATGAACACACAGTGATCAATCAGCTGGGGAGACTACCACACTTAGAACATCCCGAGACATTACAACAAACACACTGGACTGGTTTTAAGAATTGGAGCTGGTTCCAAATTGGTCGCGTCGAATCGTGCGGATAGTTCGTTCTGCAGG